GAGAGAAGCGAGCTCAACCGGGCCGTGCTCGACACGAGCTGGAGTAGACGTGCCGGAGAGGTGCTGTCGATCTTTGGAGTGCGTGGCGTTGTTGCGGGCGTGGTGGAGCCGACGAAGAACTCATCGCAGCCCGAGGTCTGGTGGAGAGCGTGGTGCCTTTGGAGAGTAGCAGCGCCGGGGTCGGCGGAGGCTCGGGACTGGGGTAGACGCTTCAAGAAGAGCCGCCTACCCCAGCTCCCTCAAAGTGGACGTACTCGACAGTGAAGTCGTCGTACGTTGGAGCCGAGCCATCGTCCACCGCCTTGTCCCACGCCCATCCTCGCCCTTCGTCGAACACAACGTCGCGCGCCGTGCGCACACGCTGTGTCTTCGGGTCGAGGACGCGGTAGGCCTTCGAGCCCTCCACGTAGCCGATGAACACTCCCGGAGTGCTCCTGTCGTCGAGCTTGCTGATGTGGCCAAGCTCCTTGGCGAACGCTAGGCAGCCGAAGACCCGCAGGTGGGAGACCGCCGGCTTGCGCCCATCCCAAGCCTCGTACGGCGTCCTACCGTCGAGCGCCTTGGTAGGCGAGCGGTTGAGGATGTAGACGGCCGTCACCACCGCCTCCCCCCAGAAGACAGCCGGCATCCCCCTCTGCTTGAGGAGGGCCCGAGCCATCCCCACAACCGTCTGGTTGCGCCGCTCGACGACGCCGTTCTGCTGCGGGCTGTATGGCGCGGAGTAGTGGCGCTGAATGCCCTCGTCAGCGCAGTACGACGCGAATTCAGCCGTCGTGAATTCGCCGCCGTTGTCGGTGCGCAGCACGCGCAGCTTGCGGCCGCACTCCGCCTCCGCAGCAACCTACGCGCGCCTGATGGCGTCCGCAGCCTCTCCCTTGCTGCCGAGGACCATCACCCACATGTAGCGGGAGAGGTCGTCGACGAGCAGCAGGAAGTAGCGTCGTCCTCCCGGTGTGGCCGGTGTCACCGGGCCACACAAGTCCCCATGCACAAGCTCGAGCCTCTCCTTGGCTCGAAAGCTAGCCCGCTGTGGAAAGGGGAGTCGCCTCTGCTTCGTCAACACGCAGACATCGCTGAGCTGCTCCACATGGTCGAGGCACGGCAGGCCTCGCACCATCTCCGTGGCACTGAGCCGCTTCAGGGCCTCGAAGTGAAGGTGCCCGAAGCGCTCGTGCCACTGCCACGCCTCGTCATCCCGACGAGCAGCGAGACAGAGGGGTTGTGCCACCTGCACGTTAAGGATGTAGAGTCGACGGCGCACGGATACCTTGGCAAGAAGGCGGCGACGGTGATCCCAAATCCTCATGACTCCATCCTCAACCACCACGCGAACCATTCTCATCCAAATTGTCCCTAAGGCGATGATGGAGTTCCTCAACGCGGGGATGTAGAGACTCGGTGAGCGCACTGTGCTCACCAGACACGGCGGTGAAGATGACGGAGCCGACGCCCTTGATCTCCACGCCGGAGGCATCCCCAAACTTGACGGAGCCTCGAACGCTAGAGTCAAGCTCGGTGAAGAACTCCCGTCGACCGGTCATGTGATGGGTGGCGCCGGTGTCGAGGCACCACCCGTCAGTCTTGTCGTTGCCGGAGCCGTCGCCGAGGAGGGCATGTGCTTTTGGCTCATCAAGGTGGAGGAGAACCGCTGCGGCCGGTGCCGCTGGAGGTAGCTCGATCTTTGGCATGTGCCATGAACGAGCCGGTTCCTCCTCCTCGCTTTGTCAGGCGACGTGGGCTTTGGCCGCGTCGTGGTATCGACGATCCTTGGCCCAATGGCCAAAGGCAGCGCGCAGCGGCGGTGTCGTCTCGTCGGCTTGCCAGCTGCTGCTGGCGGCGGCGCCGCCCTTGGCGCCTCCGCGGGCATCACCCTCGGCATGTCCTCGCGCCCCAGCCTGGGCGTCTCTACGCGCCTTGCGCGGCTTGCCACGCTTGCGGCCGCCTGTCGCGGAAGAAGGCTCCCCCTTCCTCCGATCACCCTGACTGGCAAGCCACCGCGCCCCGAGTGAGAAGGAGCTTCCCGCCAGTGGTGATGGGCCCCGAGAGGGACTGTGGCTCATCGCTGTCGACGACCTTGAGGCGACCTATCGCCTCCTCGATCGACATCGTGGAGAGATCCAGCAGAGACTCGATCGAGCGAGCCATCTGCCTGTACTTCTCGGGGACGCAGCGGAAGAGCTTTTCGACGCTCTCTCTCTCGCCCGTAAGTGTCGCCGCCAACCGCGCACCATCTTCTACAATGAGTATTGAGACGGAGAGCAAAGTCATCAACGTCCTCACGGCTTGAAGGCGGTTCTCCCACTCCTGCGAAGTGCTGCAGTGTGGACTTGCGGGCTGTCGCCGCCGCCGCGCGTGCGCGGCGATGGCGTCCCAAGCCTCCTTGGCGATCCGCTTGGTTGGTAAGCGAAGCGCATCTCAAAGCGGGATCGCAGCGATGAGCGCATCCGGCGCCCGTCGATCTAGGTCGTAGTCGACGTCGCCGCGTCGGATCGCCTCCCACATGTACCGCACCGAGCTTTACCCTCATCACCGCAGCCCACTCGACGTAGTTGGTCTTGGTGAGGGTAGGCCACCCACCGCCGGGACCGACGCCCACGACAACGACCGGAGCCCGTGGTAACCACGGTACGGCCGCGCTCTCCATCGACCCGTCCGCCACCATTGCCGTGCGCGCCTCCTCCAGAGCGCCGCTGCGCCCGCGTCGTGCCTTCTCCAGAGCGCACCGCGCGCGTCCGCGCTGTCTCAGGCTGTTGCGCCGCGGCGCTGCGTGGCGCGCCTGCTGGCCCTGTGAGCGCCACCGCCGCGGCGCGCCTCCTCCAGAGCGCCGCCGGTAGCGTCGCGCTCTGCCGTGCAGGCTGCCGCCACGCTTCGGGGGCGGCTTGGCTGCCTTCGCGCGCGCGCAGCGCTGCTGCCTCCCTCTCTAGCAGCTCGAGGTCGCGTCGGCGGTGTCGTCGGCGAAATAGAGCTGCCGATCCGCCGCATGAAACCTCGACCTCCGCTGCCGCGAAGACGCGCCGCATTCTCCGCCATTGCTTCCGCCTCGCGCCTGGTTGCTGCTTGCCTGCCGCTGCCACCTCGACGCTTGCCGACCTCGGCAGCTTCGCTCGCCGCCATTGCGGCGGTCTCTGCCGCCGCTTCAAGTTCGCGTTCCTCGCGCGACGTTGAGGCCTCGAGGCGCTTGGCGAAGGCCGAGATCGGCCATGGCGCCCTGCGGACATGGCGCACTGGGGGGACTGCGCAGAGGAGAGGGCTGCCAGACATTTGCGCGTCTGCTGGAGAGAGTGAGAGAGCGGCGGCGAGCTGCTTGCCGCATGGGCTGTTGTGTGGTGGGAGAGGAGATGAGCAGGAGATGCTCAAAGCTCACAGGATAATCTGGCTCCGATACCACTTGTTAGTCATTTGAATTCTCACTCTTGGTAGTATGAGAATTCTTACTCTCATCGAGAGAGGATGACACTAGGAGTTGAGGCAATTTTCTTGTCTATTTCTCACACAAACTCACATTAAATGCCATGCCAACCGAGGGGTTGGGGTTACATATTTATAGGCTGCTAGCCAGCCAAGCATATGCCAAGATGCTAGTCTAAGATGCTAATATGCTGTCCTAGCTAAGATGCTGTCCTATCCTAGCTAAGATGCTGTCCTCTAGTCTAAGATGCTGTCCTCTAAGATGCTGTCCTGCTGTCCTCCAGTCTAAGATGATGTCCTAAAAGCAGAAAAACAGTCACAAGGACCATGTGAGCAGTACAGCCCCACAAAGACCACACATGAGACTTATCCATCAATTTATAGGTGACCAGTAACATATCGGAAGTTCGAGACTGGGCCCTGAATTAACTTCTTGTGCAATCATGAACAGATCAGGAAGAACAAGCTCATCTACCAGGACAAGCCCCGGCTTAAGACAGCGCTGGAGCTGCTCAGGATCAGCATGGATGTGGAAGATAGCCTGTCAGAGGTATTCCATTCTAACCTCAGGGCTCAGGCTAATGCTTTAGCTAGCTGTTTCAGTCGGACAGATGCAACAACTGCTGGTCGTCCTTCATTTTGTTTCTTGATATGTTTCCACAGGTGACGATGCCATTCTTCATCCTGCACGGTGAGGCCGACACGGTGACCGACCCCGAGGTCAGCCGCGCCCTCTACGAGCGCGCGGCCAGCACCGACAAGACCATCAAGCTCTACCCTGGGATGTGGCACGGCCTCACCGCCGGCGAGCCTGACGAGAACGTGGAGCTGGTGTTCTCTGACATTGTCTCGTGGCTCGACAAGCGCAGTCGCCACTGGGAACCCAATGAGCGGGTAAGGACTCCACCGGAGCCTGAGAACAAGCACCGCCAGGCGGCGCCCACGAAAATCACCCGCGTCACCAGCAGCAGTGGCGGCACCGAGAGTCCGGTGCCGGCACACGGTCAGCCTCAACGGCGCGGCAGCTGCCTCTGCGGACTAGGCGGTCGACCACACCAGCAACAGTGTAGGATGTAGTAGATGGAAAACATTTGCATTTTCCTTCTTCAGTTGTTGACTAAGAACTGTACATGACATAAGAAACAAGCCTGACGGTGAATGAAATAAAACATGTCATCTTGTTTCATCTTCAGAACTGTATGTTTCTTTCTTTCTTCGTTCTAGTCTATCTATTTTCTGAGAGCAGGGTAGGCATCCTCTGCGTCTCAACAAAGACATCAAAGCAGGCATACATAACACTTGCAGAAAACGTGATTTATACCATATATATGATGCTATGCTCTCAACAAAGAATTAGATCATCCGGGTTTATCTCCAACGGTTCAACTGAAATTTTTTGTATAGCTAAGGACTGAGAGAACTGAGAAAAAAAATACAGGAAAAAGAATAGCAATACAGCATCAACCAAGGTATTTCAGTAACACATTCCCAACGAACTACGTGGCCATATAGCTTTTGTCAGTAAGGAGAGCACAACCCAAGCAGCTAGAAGCAGGCCACCAAAAATTTCCCAAGTCTCGTGCGCCTTCATCCTAACCTTGCTGGTTTCCAGTGGTGGCGGCGGTGTCTTGGTCGCCGAAGATGCGCTTGCGGAAGTCGTTGACCATGAGGGGAAGGCCCTCACGGAGGGGGATCTTCGGCTCCCACCCAAGGAGCTCCTTGGCACGGCTGATGTCGGGCTTGCGCTTGTGTGGGTCGTCCTGGGTGTTCTGACGGAACTCGATCTGTGCATTGGGGTCGATGGTGTCCTGGACAACCTTGGCAAGCTCAAGCATGGTGAACTCGCCAGGGTTACCCAGGTTGAATGGTCCTACATGATCGCCTTCCATCAGCTTCATCAGACCCTCAACCTGGAAGAAGACCCAAATCAGTACAATGAATGCAAAGAACAAAATTCCTTGTAATGAATACTTCAAGCATCCCACTTGCTAGCTAAGCCACTAAGCCACAGGAAAAAAAAAATCAAATCTGGTACTCTGGCATTGATGTTGTATCAAGTGTTTCTTTTTTTCAATATATGTTGGGTACAGATAGACCTACCAGATCAGAAACATATTGGAAACTCCTGGTTTGCTTTCCATCACCATAAACAGTCAAGGGCTCCTTCCTCAGTGCCTGCAACCATAATCGCACGTAGTTAATTTCAGTGCTACAAGACCAATTGTCATTTCTTTTGGGTTCTGTAACTAGAATAAACAGTAGTGTGCATATTTACCTGAGCAACAAAGTTACTAACAACACGGCCATCGTCAATGCACATGCGAGGGCCATATGTGTTGAAGATACGTGCGATCCTAACCTGAAAACAGCAAGAAATCACCAAGATGAATCTACTTAGTTGCAGATGAAATGGAATTCCATCCAACCAAACCGACATTTTGGATTGCAACTTACCTCAAGGTTGGCACCACGGTGGTAATCCATGGTCAACGTTTCAGCTGTACGCTTGCCCTCATCGTAACAGCTCCTGACACCTGTCATTCAGAAATTGTACCCATCAGTAAAACTCGCAAAGAGAAGGCAAGAGCTTGCCTACTTTGTAAACAATCCAACGAGTATCCAACAGCCAGCAAATACTACGTAAATAGCTCAACAAACTTCATTCATTATTTTAGGTGCAAAGGTTGGTGGATGTTTGGTTAGGCATAATTGGTCAAGTATAGTTGTGTTCCCCTCTTGCTTTATTAAAAAGGAATCCACAAAGTGGCCCTCTTGGAGCAAATTCCACCTACCAACATTGTCCCTTTCCACCAAAAAGAATCAAAGCATGCAATAGCCCACGAAGCTAGATTCCATAGCCAGCATCTCCAGAGGGTAAGATTCCAAATACCTTTCTGCATATTGCTTATACAAGACTTCTTTCATGCAACAGTAAGCTTCAAGTCTGGACCAGCACTATTTTCTGAAAAGGGCTCATTCCTGCTTTCTACGGCTCGGGGTAAAAAAAAAGGGTTAACACAGATTTGACAACTTAGAGCTTTCCTCTTTGCAACAGTACATTGTCCAGCTTGCATTTCCCTCCTTCCCTCTCCTTTTCGTGGTTTTGCTCATCCCAAAATCATGTCACTAAAAGACTATGGCTGCAGGGTAACATATTTAGGATAACCCCTCAGTGGTCTATGCTCTCTCGAAGGTCACACAAAAGCATGACAAAGAAAGAATTCGCATGAGATATCATTTATTTGGTGGCTGACTGTTCCCTGCTAAAAGCAGGATCCAGCTAATTTTTTGCCATATGCATGACCCAACTAACAATTAACTAACCTCATCATGATAGATCCAAGAAACATGAATCATCAATTGTCACTGCAAGAAATTAATTTCAAGAGATGAACAAAGAGAGTATAAACGAGAAGAGTTATTACCGATGGGATTGACATTGCCCCAGTAAGTCTCCACCTGCGGGTGCTGGAGGGGATCACCATAGACCTCACTGGTACTGGTGAGGAGGAACTTGGCGTTGATTCTCTTTGCCAATCCGAGCATGTTCAGAGTGCCAACCACATTGGTCTTGTGCTATCACAAAGGTTAAGGCTAACATAAACCATCTCAAGAAAGCAAAACAAGCAGGAACTGAAAGAGTCAGCCACCCTTTTGACTTTGTCACATTGCTACTCCACAATCAGTTCCAAAACAAGTAAAGCATAAGGAAATTACGTGAAGTGAACAGTAAGCAAAGTTGCTTAGAAAGTGTAAAGGGCAAAAGTCACTTGGACGTCAACTTTTGTGTTGTTGAAAATTGACGTGCGCCCTTTATGTCAGAACTAAGCAAAGTCCACAACTAACCCAGATCCAGGCACACCGTGCGCTTACTTTTTGCTTCCATTAACAGATCATGAAGCAAAGTAAAACGGTACGGAGTAATTGAGTTCAGATCACAGCTATAACTTCTGCTAGTACGTTTTTCCTATTTGAAACGCACGCGAAAATGCAGTCAGCATTCGGAAGCATAAAAAACAGTTTTTTTTTTTTGAAAAACACAAATGATTTCGACAGAGAAATGATGTGGGATTTGAGATCTTCAGTTGCATCTCAAGAATCTGAGTTCAACTGAACATCTGACGCCAGATTTCATGGATAGATAGATGAAAAAAAAAGAGAAGAAATTTCTTGTTCGTTGAATGAAAAGGAGGGATTGCCCTTGACCTTGAGCAAAGGGTAGCAGACAGAGATCTGAAACGGCCAAGCTCTGCCTCTGCTTCCCCTCAGCTCTGCAGAAAACTCCAAAAATCAGAGTGAAACGTGGAACAAATCCCGAGCTCCGGACAAAATTCTCCTTCCGTGCCATATTCCCATTTCAGGGACGCACACGGAATCTCAGGGAGCAGTGAATCGGTGCTCCTCCTCCCCAGATGCATTGCGCGTAACCGATAAACCCGCAGCAAGGAACAAATTCCCCACCAAAAAGCAATAAAAACCAAGTCCATCCCAATAACAATATAAAATATTTTTGTTTGGCACCAAAAGAAAAAGAAGAATAGAAGCGATCGCGATCCAGGCATCAATCATGAATCATTCATGGAGGAAATGAAAGGAAAGGAACGCAACGGAACTGAAGGAATTCGCAGAGGAAGGATATGATTGTCTTGATGGGGTTGTATTTGTAGTGGACGGGGGACGCCGGGCAGGCGAGGTGGTAGATCTGGTCGACCTCGAGCAGGATGGGCTCGACGACGTCGTGGCGGATCATCTCGAAGTTTGGGTCGTTGAGGTGGTGCAGGATGTTGTCCTTGCGGCCGGTGAAGAAGTTGTCAACGACGATGACGCTGTCGCCGCGCTCCAGGAGGCGGTCCACCAGGTGGCTGCCGACGAAGCCGGCGCCGCCGGTGACGAGGACGCGGAGCGCCTTCCGCTTGAGGCCCAGAGGCACCTTGCCGCCGACGAAGTGCCGCGTGGCCACGTCGTGGTGATGGGCGGGCTCGACGGAGAAGCGGGCGAGCGGGTGGTTGTTGTTGGAGTAGGACGAGGCGAAGGCGCCGGTGGAGGAGGTGGAGGAGGAGGCGGACGGGGAGGCGATGGAGATGACGGCGGCGGCGATGAGCATCCCGGCGAGCGCGAAGAGCGGGCGGTGCTCGGCGACGGCGTAGCGGGCCGCGCGGGGCAGCCACGCGAGCGGCTTGGACGGCTTCGGGGAGTATCCCCCGGCCCCGGCGCTGGCGGCCGTCGACGCCCCGCCGCCGCGGTAGGTGAGCTCGGACGCCATCTCCGTCGTGAATCTAGGGGGAGGCGTGAGGGCCCTCGGCGAGACTCCCAGCGAGGGACCTGGGCGCGATTCGGACAGGTCTGTCTCGCGGGGGTGGCAGCGGCAGCGGCTGGAGCGGAGAGGTATTTATGGGCGGGCGAGCGGTGGCTCGCCGGAGGAGGGATGCGGGGGCCGGGGCCCTTGGATACGGGGCGGACGGCGGGGGATCGAGTCTTCGGGTGGTGGTGGGGAGCTCCCTGGCCGGGAGGTGGGGGGGTTTGACTGGCGGTGCGTGTGATCTGGTGCGCGAGGGAGGCCGCCGGGACAGGTGTGCGACCCGGAGGAGGCCGGGGGTGGGTGGCCACTGCGACCACTGGCTTCGTCGGCGGCTACCCTCCTCTCTCCCTCTCTTTTGCCACCAGCGTACTACACCCTATTCGCTTGATTGGATTAGCCATGTTTATCACGGTACGGTACAGCGTTTTTCTCTCTCGATAAAACAGAGCAAACATAGTGCTAATTGTGAATCACAGGTTATTAGACTCGTGTCATTAGCGTGTGACTACAAGGGTCACTACCCTCCTCGTTGTTACCTGGACTGACGGTGGGGGCATGTGCTATACGATACGTGCTGCCAGTACCAGGTGGTTGGAACTGAGGTGTTGTTTTGGTTAATAAAAAACTCACAAGTGCAACAACTATGGTGATAGTGATATACACGGTAAGCGCGTGTTTAGTTTCAGCAAGTTGGAATTTGGGGCTACTGTAGCACTTTCATTTTTATTTGGTAATTAGTGTTCAATTATGGACTAATTAGGCTCAAAACGTTCGTCTTGTAATTTCCCACCAAACTGTACAATTAGTTTTTTTCGTCTACATTTAATGCTCCATGCACGAGGTGAGTGAATTTGAGAATTTGAATATGATTACACCCTATGTGATAGCTACTGTAGCTACTGTAGCACTTTTTGAGAATTTGAGGTGGAACTGAACACGCGCTAAATGGAAAGAGGGTCTGGTGAGTGAAGATTTGGTTTGGTTTGCGAGTCACCGGATGTACGCTTTAAATACGGATGGCGCTATTTATAGTATTTTAATTTGAATATGATTATTACCGGATAGAAATACAAAATATATGTTTTGAATTCATATTCGTATTCAAATATCTACTAGATTTTAACAATAACATAAGCTTATAGATAGTTTTAGTAGAACAAAATTATTATGTATGTAGAGATTTAAAAAATAGGGGCTCTTGCGTTTGTACCCTTGTTTTGTGTCGAAATTATGATTTTGCCCCTATTTTTTTTGACTTTGTGAATTTACCCCTATGATTCGAATCGAAGCACCAGTTTGCCCCTGCTCTATCATCCACCCCTAACAGTGTTAAACTTTATACAAAAGGACATAAATGCCCATGCGATTTTGCCCCTTATGCCTAATTATGATTTTGCCCCTGTCTGGCCGAGGCTCGGTTGCGCGTGGCACGGGGTCGACCGTCCGGCCACGGCGCGGCCACCGGCGATGCGGTGCTGGGGCCTAGTCGCTGGGGTGCAGGGTCAGGCTGTGGCCGCTGGGGGTACGGGGACGGGGCGCGCGGGGAGCGGGGCTAGGCCACCTGTGCGCCGTGCCGAGGACGCGAATGCCGTCGGGGGAGGCACGTGGATAGCGCACGGGCAGCTCTCGATCTCGTGTTCCGGTCCACGAAAGTGCGAGCAGGGCGGCTCTGCAGCACCAGGGTGACGTCGCGAACTTGGTTGGCCGGTTCTTAGCGGCGGGAAGTTGGCAACGGCGGTGGTCCACGGCATCAAGAAAAACGGCGGCGGTCCAGGGCACTGGCATAGCCGCGGGGAAGGCGAGGGGCGCAGCTCGCCGAAGCAGGCTCGTAGCTGCGAGCACGAGCCGGCAGGTCGGCCCCGTGGTGGCTCCTCGCCGTCGGCGCGTGCGCGGGCGCGGGAGGGCGATGGCTCCGGGTCATAGGCAGCACCAGCACGACCGCCAAGTCGGCGGCGCCGTCCGAACGTGATGCCTCCACCTTCCTCTGCTTCTGCGGTCTGGGCACGGGAGCCTGTGTGGGGAGGAGGAGCGGAGGAAGGAGGGGAGGAGGCGGTGCGGAGACCCGCTGCCAGGCGCCACCGGGAGCCACGGCCAGGCGCCGTCGGGAGCCGTGTCCAGCCCCGCACGAGACCGCGGCGCCCTCCTTGCACGCGCCCGCTCGACCACCTGCCCCGCCACGCCACCGGCCCCTGCCCCGTCCTCTGTTTACTGCCACCGCACCTGCGCCGCGCGTGGGAGACTCGTCCGAGCGGCAGGCCAGGGAGGGATGCCGGATCCGCGCCGGGAAGGGGCCTCGTCCGAGCGGCGGGCCGGGGAGAGAAGCCGCATGAGAGGGCTCGCCTGCCTGCACCGGATCCGCGCCAGGAAGGGCTCGCTTGCCTACGTCGGGAGGGGCTTCGCCAGATCCACACCGGGGAGGGACTTTGCCAGATCCCACGCCGGGGATAGCAGCGAAGAGAACGAGCGGATAATCTGAAGAGGAAGGGGCATTTTAGTCATTCCGCATCTGATTTTATGTGTTTTGTTTTTTTAAATCGTTTAATCAACCTCTAAATAACAGACATCCAAACCAGGGGCAAACGGCTCATTCGTTTCAAAATAACAGGGGTAAAATCACAAAGTTGAAAAAATAAGGGTAAAATCACAATTGGGCTTCTGGACAGGGGCAAAAACACCGTTTTCCCTAAAAATATGATTATATATATAACACATATACATAATGACAACTCATAAAATAACATATGCATATATATAGTAGATATTTCAATAATTAAATATATGAAAAATCAATAATGCTATAAGTAAAATTTATCAGTAAATTGTTTAAAATATATAAGCATAATTTTATCGGTATATGAATGACTAAATTACTTGAAATAATATGATTAGCAATATTAACATTAATTAAAATTAACCTTTATATATCATTAGTAATACTAAAATTAATATAATGCCATTAGACATAGAGATAAGTTTTAAATAGTTTAAATGATGCATATTATTTTGTTATATCAAAATTGATATCATTTATATTACTAGTTAGTCATATATATAAGTTTTAGATGGCTTTATTGGGTACATTGTTATTCACGGATACGGGTAGTGTCGGATATTTCATATTTTTTCAAATACCAATCTGGAATCGATAGAGAAAACCACAAAATAATGAATTTGATTACATCCGTTTAGCATTATACTAGAACCAGATATGGATATGGATATTTATATTAACGTTAAAATGCATATG